CATTATCACATGACACAATAAGGACAGCCTTTTCAAATAATATATAAAACAAATACTTGTGAGTATATTTCGTAAAGCAAAATTGTGGAACATATTTGTGTGGAAAAAAATGCGGGACACCGTCATCAAAAAAAATTTTCAAAACTCAACGATAATTTGCACTTCATTATACTAAAATTTAATAGGCTAAAAAACTGCATACCAAAATTTTGTCTAAATTTACTGATTAAGAAGTTAGAAATTTTGGTCAAACTTTGCAGAATTTTCATAATTTTTGCCCGAGAAATTCAAACTCCAACAAAATCGGGGAATTCTCCACTGGTTGTCATCGCTGATCCCAATGTTTTGATGGTCATACTAAATAATTTCGAACTGCTGGTTTGCAAATATTGCTGAAGCTTAGTAAAAAAAAAGATATATACATATTTACTGATGTGCTATAAGGTGGACATGAAAGTTTAAAATGGCATAGTATTTATTGCCCATCTGAATTCATAAAAGTACTGTAATTGCTCTAAACTAAAACAAACCACTTTAATTACATGCATTCATGTCAATATACATACATACATAAATTATTTAAAAGCATGCCCTCAATTAGTTCGCCCATTCCACATCCACATGTACATATGTATGTATGTATATGGTGTATTTTAACACAAGGGCACTGATAATTACTGCTGCTCGTATAAAGGCTTACTCCCGCATGTGTCATTTGCAAACGGAAAACAAATTTAAACTATTTTATTTGCCTAAATTAATTTAAATAAATAATTATGATCCGCTAGCTACATACATATGTATGTGTATATGTATCTACTCTATTATTACAACGATGAACTGTTTGTGTAGGCGGTGATGTTTCAATGACACTGAGGTAAATCCCTAACCGACAATTAAATATACTGAAATGAGCCGCAGTGGAATTTAGCGTTGCAGTTAAAATAATAAATGAACATAGAAAACTAAATGGCAAATACTCTGGCACATACTATTTTGAAAAAAAAAACGCAATTCAATGCGGCTGCAGCGCTCCTGTTTTCATAAATAGTTTATTTACACAACTGTCTGTATAACAAAGCATAATCCAAAACTATCAGAATGCAGTAGAAATATTTTCTTTTTAAATTTTAAATTCCCAGTAAAAAATCTGCGATAAGGAGACTTTCTAGGAGCAAACTTTTAGTCTTTTCAAGCGGTAGGCAATTCCCATATGTTAGTGTTTGGCCGAGCTTCTCCTCCGCGTGCGCCTTAATGTTCTTACACAAAGCGGAGCGACCTACAGTTGTACGCCAACTCCGAACGCTGGGTGTATTTTAATGAGAAGTTGATTTTCATGGCAGAAATACACTCGGAGGTTTGCCATTGCCTGCCGAGGTGCGACCACTTCTAATAAAAACCCTTTTTTCTATATTCATTACAAAGTAAAAAAAATTGTTTCAGCTTTGAAATTTCATAATCGTTTTTAAGTCAAATTGAAAGCCGCAAAAAAATCATAAATTTACTCCTTCAAAAGTTAGTCAAAAAAAAAAATATATCTAAATAACCTTGCAAAAATACTTTAGGCTTTGCTTGTAAGGTGGTACGGTCTTATATATTTATCTACATGCCAAATGTCCCAATTGTTTGAGTTTAATACACCCACTGTAAATAGCCATTATAAATTGGTATTCGTATTATTAATTTTATAAAATATTTTATTTATATATTTCAGAGAAGTTTTAATGACAGTCTAATGAAAATATTCCGGATTACTGATAACATACAAAGAAAAGTAAATTTACTAATATTTAAAATTTTTTTTTACCAGCATAAAATGCAGTTTTTATCACAAAGTAGTCGTCCTAATTTTTTACTCACTACATATTTTCTTACAAATATAAAAAGACATTCTCTTTCCACTGCTAAAAAGAATGGCCTATAATTTCAAATGCAATATTTTCAATATAGTCGCTTACATTTTAACATGAATTATTAAATTAATTAAATTATGATGAATTCGTTGTTATAGAATAAATATTTTTCAAATATTAATTTGTTACAAACATAGCAAATAAAAACTCTGGCAAAAGCAACACTTTTGTACGTAAGTGAGTAGCAAAAAATAATAAATATTGCGTTTCTCGGAAGGTTATTTGATTTATTTAGCTGTGCAAAATTATTTGGAAAATATTTCAAATCAGAGTTTCAATTGGCAACTAGCACCTAAATACATATGTAGATACAGACATATTCGATGACGGCAAAATTAAGTTTGTTTCTAGGAAAATATGAAAAAAAAAATTAATAAAAGAGCTGACTTTTGTTACTTTTATTATTTTTGAATATTTATCTGATGTGTAATATTAATATTAAAAAAATAATAATAATTTTTCGCGCTAAAGTATTTGTGATAAATCTATCGAAAATTCCCATATAATATGTATGCATGTTGACATATACATACATACATATATGCATGAAAAACAGTTGTACATGAGGCCATATAAAGGTAGTTAAGTAAGAAATTGTCGCCCTTAAGTGTACTTTTTCATATCATTGACACTAAAAAATTGCTTAAAAATTTAGTACACCTATTCAATTTTATGCATAAGCTTACAACTCATATTTTCATCTGAATACCCAAATCTAAACATAAAAAAAAAGCTGGCAACATTGTCAACGATCCATAACGCATAAAGCTAAAATAATTGAATTCATAAAAAATGCTGCTACTATACATATTTTTATACATGTACATAAGTTATTGTTGTGTGGTATAAGTATATAAGTATTCGTATAAATTTTTTTAAGCGAAGCTATTACAGGCAAAGTGTGTGCTATCATTGCTTTCGTTCAGTAAATAAGAGTTGGTTGTATTTTATGTCTGACACTGAACGTAAAATAATGCTGATTGATAAAATCTACTGATACGAGTCGGTGGATTAACGAACATTTTTAATACACAAAATAATTAGCTGTAAATACATGCATGCATACATATGTACATGTTTATAGTAAATATTTCTGTTTCTACTTTCTATTGGCTAAAAATACATTAAATTTAAATAAAATGACTGAAAAATTATTTGCATGCTCTCTCGTTTGAATATTTATTGCTGAGAATCCTTGCTATAAAACAACATTTTAGAGACGAAAAAATGAATTTAATGTTAACAATATACATATGTATATAGCACTGTGTTATCAAATGTCTCCAGATATTGGTATATTCGTTACCGATTTTCAAACAGATGTACAGCGGTTTATCGGATAATTATAAAGCACTTACAAAAATTTCCCAAAAAGACTTCAAACAATTTCAAAGAAATCCATAAAGTCCAAAAAAAATACCAAACATAAGAAACTCCAAACAGTTTAAGGTGAATAATTCGGAAAAAAGTACAAAAGTTCCTGAAAAATCCCAAAACACCTAGAAATAGAATACACCCGAAAAATCCTTAAATACTCCTTATAAATCTCGAAATGATCCAGTAAGTCTCGAAAAAGCTTCAAAAGCTACCAGCTGCTCTAAAAGTTGAAAAGGCACCTAAACAAAGATTCTGAAAAGTCTTCGCAAATCCTAAACTTCAATAATAAATAATCAGAAAAAATAGCAAGAATGTCTCGAAAAACTCCACAAGCTCCCAGGTGTTCTAGACTTCCAAAAAAGTACTGAAAACAAAAAAATTCTGAAAAGTTTGCGAAAATCCCGAAACGTTGGGAATGAATAATCAGAAAACATTCCAATAATTCCCAAAACATCCCAAAATTAAAAGAAAAAATAATAATCCTTAAAAGTTCCGAAAGAATCCAAAAAGTCCCGAGAAAACTCCAAATGCTCCCAAGTGCTTTAAAAGTCCAATAAACACCCAAATTAAAAAATTCCGAAAGGTTCCCGATAATAATGAAAAGTTTATGACAAATAATACCGAACAAATTCTGAAACATCACGAAAGCTCCCAAAAATAGTCCTGGAAAAATTCAGAAAGTGCCGAAAAAATTTCCAAAAGCACGCAGTTTCCCCAAAAGTAAAAAAAATAGAAAAAAATAGAAAATTCCGAAAAGTTCCGCAAATTACGAAAAGTTATGAATGATTCCATAAAAATTCCAAAATTTTCCAAGTCCTAAAAATCTAAAAAACACCAAAAAATAAGACACGAATAGTTCTGAAAAAAACAGAAAGTCTCGAAAAAATGTAAAAGCTGCCAGAAACTCGAAAATCCCGAATAGCCTTGGATGAATTCCAAAAAATGTATGTATTAAGAATGCCAACAAGTCTTGATCTAATACCAGAAAAAGGTTTAACAAAAAAAGAAAGGTGAATTGAAAGCATCTCGTAGAGTCCCATAAAAATTTTTCATAAAGTCGAAAAAGTAAAACACGAAGAATCTCGACAAATCCAGAATAAATCTGAAAATTTTCCGAAAAAATTTTACAATCAAAAAATCGGGGAAAAATCCAGCCGCAGCCAGGGATTCTGAAGGACCCAACCATAACACAAAACCCAAGCGTTTACTCTTTAGGAGAATGTTTTACTTCTTTACACTTCTTCATCGTCAGAGCCGAGCCATATATGCTAACGACCTCCCAGTAATGGTATGGATGCGTCTTAGTTTTCCAGAAATAGGTGCGAAACGGGGTGGAAGGATGTGGATTAAACATGCTGCATTTCCCAAGCAACCGCTCTTCACGGAGGCAACATTCGCGGCATGGGCGCTTTTCTTATAGAAGACCACCTAAAGCTGCTGGTAGTAGGTGTAAAAATCAAAATTCTGGCGGCTTTGCCCTTTACTGTCTGCCCAATCTTTGCTTGAAATTTAACGATGACATTCGCAGAATTTCGAGGCATTCATGCTTGCTGTGTGCCTTAAAAAATAATCTACATTTTAAAATCGCAAAAATTTTTTTTTTTTTCAATAACATTTTTGAATTTATGACTTATTTTTTAAATCACGTTTAAATAAAATAAAAATCAATTATTTGACATACTCTTGCTCTTTTGCTCTCTGTCATTGCAGGCGCCATATTTGAACAAGGCACTGATGAGGTGCAATCAGCGTTTAAATACGCAATGCTCAATCACAATCTCAACGTATCGTCACGCCGATTCGAGCTGCAAGCGTACGTGGATGTCATCAACACAGCAGATGCATTTAAATTGTCGCGCTTAAGTACGTCGTGGGGGCGAGCGCTAGTCGCACTTATAAGCCAAACCATAGCATACAAAAAAAAAAAGAGAAAACAAATTATTAAAAAAAAAACACATATTTGCACACAAATACATTCATCAATACGTAGGGAATACTCGAATGTGCACTTGACGTACGTAGCGCGCGCGTGACTGCAGCAGCCTTGATGGCCTTGTGTGGCAAATGTGGCTGTGGCAAGCGAGGCGATGCTTGTCATTTGCTGCTTGATTGCCACCGGCTCACTGCTGCTGCTGTTGCCGCCGCCACTGCAGCGTTTCATTAATTATGCACTTTTTCTGATTTAAACAGAACACAGAATACATTTACATTCGCAGTCATTGTCAGTATGTTCAACAAATTGCCACACATATTTACTTGCACACAAACACAAACATTTACAATGCATTTATAAATTTTAATTACTTGCATTTTTCTTCTATCTTCATATTTACCGCTGCATTGGTGAACCAAAAAAAAAAAACAAAAACCAACATTCGTTCGTTTGAAAAATGCAATAACAACACGCATACATCCATACGTGGCTGTGTATGCGCCTTACAGTATGCAATCAATTTTCGCGTGGCGTTTATTCTATGCTGGGTGCCGTATCACCGGATTCATTTGATACATTGCACTCGTACAGCAATACATTTCAAATGCCATTCGTGACACCATGGTTTCCAGAGAAAGTAAGCCGGAATTTCTGTACATAACATAGAAAAATTACTCTAACACACACGCACGCATACAAACTAACACAGCAACACACATACATACATATATGTATGAAAAAGAACGAAGAATGTGAGATGGCAAAAAGTGTGACAGCAGTGAGCGAAACTTCTAACTTTTTCAACACTTTCACATAAAATCGCACGCACACACGCTTACTTGTAGATAAATAATAAACATGGAATTTTTATGCAAATATCGATAGTCACGCGGTGCACTGGTGTGTTGTGCCATTTTTCCAACGCACTTGACTTGCTGCCATGATTTTTTTTTTTTGCTTTTACTTTTTTACTTTTTATAACTTGTTTTGTATTTAGTTTTTTTTTTTTTTATATACATAAATATATGTATTAGTTGTTTCCTTTTTTGTGAATTTAATGCAGCATATTGTCGCCGCTGAAGTAGGTTAAGTGTGCGGATGAATATTTAGTGGGCAAGCGCATACAATGGAAAAGTAGGAGAGATTTTTTTGTATATAGCGAGACTTTTAAATTTTAGCCTTTTCAAAAAATTGCTACATCGAATTTAGTTTTGTTCTAAAGAAGCGCATATTAAAAATGCATATTTATACCTGTCTCAACTTAATACCGGCCCAGGTGACAAAAAATTTTCATGGACGACGTGTACAAATGAGTCGTCCTTATCTAAATTCCCTAAGTCAGATCTGGTCACTGGTGAATGTAGGTTTGACTAGCTTATTTACCATGTATTGCCACCCAAATAATAACATCAACTGCCACCCAAATAATAACATCAACAAATTGGCTCAAGATCTCTCTACTCCAGAATTTGGTTTAAGGACGCTCTATCTGAGAATTTGAATGAAAAACGCCTCATCTCAGAATTTGGTTCAAGAATGCCCTATCTTAACTGAAAATATATTGAAGCGATGTTGATATAGGGCATTTTTAAACCGAATTCTGAAATAGGGCATTCTTGAAAATAGTTCTTAAATAGGGCGTTTTTCAACCGGCTGCCGTCGACACAGACAAGTAACTTTTCAGTTTTCCCAGATTGGCAATTTTAAGCGCTTTTAGTTGAAGTTAGTGATCGGCTGATCAGCTTTCAAAACAATTAGAAACTGAGAAACTACTTTTCTTTCCAGGCTTTCAAAAAACTCGGTTTCATCGATTCCCCGCGAAAAAAACTGAGAAGTTCGTACAGTGTAAGCGCACAATCAAATAAAATTAAGATCTTAGATCTTTTCTCACTACTATGTAGTTGGTCTGCTTAGTAACCCAATATTGATTATTCTTCAAGCCTCTCATTTTCCAAGTCAATAAATGCTGACCTGGGTCAGAGCTTTTCAAAATTAACAGAGCATCGGCTAGTTTCTAAACTTGCTCGTCGACTGCGCAGCTTTCAGATATTTGCCTGAACCCATAAGTGTATACCACAATAATGTCACTATTAAACAAATGTTATTTCTACCAATTTTTGAAAAACACCGAAATGCCTTAAAAATCTCCAGCGAGCTCTAAGAAGTGTAGAAGAAAATTCGAGGTTCCGTTAAAAACCAAATCTTACCAAAACATAGGAAAATTTTCGAAAAAAGCCCGAAGAGCTTAAAAAAAAATGGGAAAACATCAAATATAAGAAATAAAGAGTGATAAAATAAATAAAAATTTTACTATCCGTGCACCCGAATAGCAGCACACTTTTGTGATGCCAGGCCTGATTTCCCCTTTTATTCAACACGTGTTCATAAGCTCCATAAAAACTTGAATGTTTCAAATTATCTAATTATTTTAACTTCCTCTACCGCTTGTTTGCCCAAGCAGATGTCTACTGAAATTTTCGGTAATAAAATTGTTTCCTTTTTCTCAAACAAAATCGCTTAAGTAGCATAAAAATCAGAATATATCTCAAATTTGCGTCTCTATCTTCTTATATTTCTTTTTTAGAGCCTAAATTACTTGTACCGTACGTTGCTTTATTGCACTTCTTTATGTTATGTACAACCACACAGATATTTCATTTAATATTATTTTTATTAAATGTTAATCATACGCCTCGATGGTAATAAAACATATTTCATTTAACTAACACACAAAAAATATAGCCCCATTTGTTTGTTGAAGTGGCAGACGACAGTTTGCCTTGAAAATTAATAGCAGACAATGGCTGTGCCGTCCAAACGCAGGCACCATAAAAAACACACAAAAAAAATAGTCAGTCGCAAACAATATTTAGCTGTTTCCGACAATTTATGAAATACTTAATAAAGTTATAAATGTCCAAAAGTGTACGCTATACACAAATCATAATCATTTCGGATTTTATTTTAACAAACTGCCACTCAGCCTCCTACATTTGGTATTTTGAGCTGGGCGAACGAACGAACTAACGAGGCAGTAATGTGATGTGTTTAAAGAGCATAACATTTAACGAAGTTAGAAGAAGGAATTTCCACCCAGTTATTCACCAGTGTGCCACTTGAGTGCTTAACATTCCGCAGAGATCACAACTATTGTAAATAAAAGCTAAAAAAAAGAAAAAATTTATGGAATAGGATTCTACAAATTTAATTACTTAAAAAATTAAAAAAAAAAACAAAAAAAAAGAAAATACGACTTTAAAAATAAAAATAAATTAAAAACAAGAAAAAAATTTAAATAAGTTCATAAGATTAAATTAAACTTAAAATTGTACTTTTTTTATTTACATAGGAAAGAAATTGAAAATTAAAAAAAAGTAACTTAAAAAAAAGTTTATCAAAAAAGAAACATTTAATAAAATGAGCTTCTAAAATTTAAATGATTATTAAAAAAATATTTATTTTTAAAACAATAAAACCCAAAAACTAAATGGAAATGAAATTAAAAAAGAAAAATAAACTAAATTAAATTTAAAAATGTATTTTTTTATTGGAAAATATCTAATCTAAAAAATTGATTAAATAAAGAAAAAAATTAATTTTCAAAAATAATAAAATAAAATTTAAATGATTAAATGAGAAAAAAAATTATTTTTGAAACAACAAAACCTG